ATACAATTTTATGCCTTCTTCAACTGCATATATTTTGAATACAATTTTATGCCTTCAACTACAGGTATTTTGTACATAATTTTATACTTTCAGGGTAAACGTTATATATATATATATATATATATATATATATATATATACACAAAAAACACGTGTCTGATTGTTTAAATTACAGACATTATGTCTGCTAATTTTCAACAAAATCCGTTCATGCTCATGAATAACTTTCTGTGTATTGATATTAAAGGATGAGAGAAATGTGCTATAACTGTTTAAATTTCTTTTATTTTCATTTCCCAAGTACTTTTGATCTTCTTCCAAGATCATCTCCAAGGGTGTAAATAACGCAAAACTATATGTTGTTCAGAGGTACAAGCATTTATGCAAAGCTGTGTTGCTATCCATTACTGTAACTTTTCATTATGCTTTTAAATGAAAAACAGTTGACAATGTGCTGAGCGTTCATTAGAACGTGAAAAAATTATAACACATTTCTCTCATACTTTAATATCAATACACAGAAGGTTATTCATGAGTATGAATAGATTGTTAAAAATTAGCAGACATAATGTCTAATTTATTCGATCAGACATGCCTAAATACACACACATTATATATATATATATATATATATATATATATATATATATATATATATATATATATATTTGTAGATGATCTATTGTATGTGATATGTTTTGTTATAAACCTATTTAGGTAGGACATTATGTTGACAGTTTCAGTATTTTCAAATAATTTCTCATGTTGTTTTCCGTGTATTATTTATGTCTAACATGTGAGTATGTTCATTTAAAATGTGTTTCACCGTGAGAGCAGCTTGGTTCATTAGTCTTAGAATTACTATTAAGTCATCATGGTGTATAAATTATCAACTGAACAGTACTTCAAACAAGGAGTCTCAGCCCTTTAATACTGTTGATTTGCTAAGTGCCCCACACTTGTGGCCTTGTGCCAAACTAAGCTAAATTTAGCAAACATTACATGATATAATGAAATTTTTTTTGTTGCCTTAAAAAATTATCATCATAATCAAATGCCAGACTTAAGTCAAAGCTATTTAAGAACATTTAGAATTTTTTTTTTTTTGCAAATTATGGTTTACATTAATTAAAACCTTTTAAATTAGGCTCAGATTTGAAAGAGAAGAAAAGAAAGATATTGTTTACTGAAGTTTCAGAAATAATTTTGAAACATTTATTTTTTTCTTTTTTGTTCAAGTGACTAGAGTTTTATTCATAGATAAAAAAGAAAAAACATAATCAATGGTATTTCAAAGTTGAAAATGTTCTAATGTAAAAAGAAGGACAAATTAATCTAAATTACTGCTCAAATGAGACACTTTTAAAGTTTTCATCTTGTGTCAGCCTCCTTCTAAAATGACTCAATGCTTCTATAAATATTCTTATAGAAGCTGACCTCTCTATCTTGGAGTGGTGTGTGTCTTGCAATGACTAAGTGCATAACACTGATCCTCGAGTAGCAAGGGATCATTGACAGTATATAAGATTGTCATAAAAGTAAAAAGCTAAATTACTTGAACCTTTAAGATTGGTCCAGAAATGAACTCACTTGTACATAACACTACAGCATTTTAACAATATATTACAAGCAGCATTATTTGAAAACTATTGTTGAAAGCAACAATTGAATGCTTGAATTTAAAGATACTTTTTGATAATAAAATACCAGTTTTCTTTTAGCCATCTTTACAAAACACACAAAAAATAGTTTTATCAAAAATAATTGTTTACTTGTTGTTCTAATTTTACACTATGGATTGATGTGCAAATAACTGATAAAAAAAAGAAGTAAATGCTTTCTCCACCGTTGGCAGAATGTACTAACCCACAAGACTGAAGAATTTCAGTCCCTCTGCATTTTCAAGGGCCGATACATTCCTATGTGTAGTGCAGGCTTGCTGGAAGATGGGTGATTTTATCAAGTCACTATCTCTAGAATGATTGCCAAAAAATGTCTGTTCTGCTATTTAACCCATAGCTGGTAAGAGAGATGAATTCATACCTTTCCCAAGCATATTTGTTTTTAAGTGAATGCAACAAACCCAGCTATAATTTGAACTCAGCTCTCCAATTTCCCATTCCAAATTGCAATCCGCTACACCACATACAAATTTGTTGATAAGCAAACATCTTTTATGAATACAACTTTTTTTTTTAATCATATCATCCCATGCACCATGCAAGGCAATAAAGCCACCAAGACAAGGAGTTACTAATCATGAAAAAATAAGAAAAAAGAAAAACATTATTCAGAAGTGAGAATAATAAAAGAAGAGTAATCAAGAAGATGGTAGATAATGATTGACATTGCATTTAAATTTTTGAAGATCAAAGTTGGCTGGAAAGCATGGAGCCAGAAAAGAGTTCCACAAGTGAGAAAAGAAACATAGAATTTCTGGTTAGATCCAACCAATTCAACTGTGAATTGATAAGACATAGCTATCAATCTAGTACTGCACATTAAATGAAGAACTATCATTATGAAATGAGTATATCTCAAAATATGCTGTTAATTTTGATGGAATGAGTAAACTAGTTTTAATATAAAATTATACTGTACATAAAATGGAGGATCATTTTACTATTTCTATTAAATAATAAACTGATCCCCAATGAATTACTACATATTAATAATTGGGAACAAATATATTTAAAGACTGATATGTGAAAATCTAAGGACTTAAGAAAATATCATTTTTGACAGCATGTGTAAACTTCTATGTGCCATGTCTCTTCAGAAGGTGGGCAATCACGGCTCTCCACAACTTCCTGTCCTCTATAGCTCAGTATAGTTTGTCTTTTTTCCAATCTTTCCTCCATCCCTCTTGCCTTCAATATATCCTGTGTCAAATTTTCCAAGCCCTGTTTCCTCATTATATGTCCTAGAAATTTTAACTTTCTGATGTTATGTGTTCTTCTAGTTTCCATTTTCTCTAAAACAGGAATTGTACATATGTTCAGTCCATGATATTCTCAGCATCCTTCTGTAGAACCACATTTCTGTTGCTTCAAGTCTCTTTCCCATCTGTGATGAGATGGTCCAGTATTCACTGTCATATTGTAGGCCCAATATTACTTAACAGTTTAGTACTCTTTTCTTTGTTTCCAATGAAATTTTTCTGTTTCTTAATAATTTGCTTAACTTTTGAAAGGCATCTTCCACTATCCCAATGCACCTTCCAATTTCAGTGTTGCATTTTTCATCCTCTGCTAAAATGCTTCCTAAATATTTAAATTTTTGCACTTGTTTAATTTTGGTATCTCCAATTTATAATTTGCATCTTAGACTATTTATTTTGCTGACAACCATACATTTTTTCTTTTTACAATTTGTTGTTAGTCCTTTCTTCTAGCTTTCCTTTACTACCTTCTGTAGGAGTCCCTGTAGTTTCCTTTCAACAATGTGTCATCTGCATATCTAATAATAGTACTAATATAAGATTTGACTAGATATGAAGTGTGGAGAAGGTATTATAATGTTATTCAGTAGTGAAATCCAGAATTACTATATATTGATATAATTAGAATTAAATATACTTAAAGACTTACATGTGAAATCCTAATAGTTAAGGTATGAAAAAAAATAGGATGATATGTTTTTATGAAATAGTTTCCTCTATGTGGCATGTCCCTTCGGGATGTTGGCAATAATGGCTCTCCACAATTTCCTCTCCTGTGAATCGCTTAATAAACTTTGTCTTTTTGCTATCTCTCTTAAACCCTCTTCTGCCATCCATTTACTCAAGTTCACTAGCCAGTTTATGTATTGTTTTCTTCCATCCCTCTTGCCTTTAATCTGTCCTGTGAGTATCAAATTTTCCAACCCCTCTTTCCTCATTATGCACTCTAGAAATCTCAACTATCTAGTATGTTAAATAGAAGTTTTCTTTTTGTTTCCATTTTCTCTAAAACTGTCATTCTTCACATGTTCAGTCCATGTTATTCTCAGTATCCCTCCACAGAACCACATTTCAGTTGTTTCAAGTCTCTTCATCTGTGAGGAGATTGTCCAGCATTCATTGCCATATAGGGAGGACTGATATTACTTAACAGTTCAGTACTCTTTTCTTTGTTTCTAACAAAATTAACTAAATAGGTTAACTAACATTAATATAAAATTCTACTGAAAATTAATTGGGGAATTAATTTTCTATAGTCATTAACTGATCCTTTCCAGAATTACTACAAATTAATAATTATAAAAAATATATTTATTGATTCACATATGAAAACTTTCTAATAATAGTAAGGACTTAACAAATATGGAGTATTTTAAGATGGCTATATTTTTTGTTGGTCTGTTATGGTGTTGGTTCCAATCTTGTCAGAAATGACTGCAAAAACATCCCCCTCCCCAAATTTATAGACAAAACAGATGCATGCTGGGATTTCTTCCTAGCCAATAAGATAGGCCACTTCTTGCTCTCATCTAACTTAATTTTGTTTTTCAGTGTCTTGAAGTTAGAATGTTGTGATAGCTTGTCTGTATCACTGTTTTGTGTGTTAACACCATTCTTAATTTGTGAACTTTTTGTCTTATTGCTGTTGCTTTGCCTTATTACTGCTGCTGTTTTTCCTTACATATACTGTTTGTTTAATATTATTTTTGCTCTGTTCTTTATCTTATTATTGTTTATTACAGACTTTATCAATTCTGTTTGTTGGACATTTCTGCCAATTAATATTTAACAATGGCCAATTATGCTACATACAACTTGTCAACCTTTTGCAGGTTATTTAAAGCCAGAAAATATTTTTTTCAATTGTAAGAATTAAGGGGAAATAATAATGATTTACTGATACAAGTCCTTACTAATTAACCCATAGCTGGAGGGAGAAGAGTTGGATTCACACATTTCCCAAGGGTATTTGTGCATTTGAATATAATGAACCCAAGTGGAATTAGGACACAAAATTCCAATTCCATGTTGTCATCCATTATAAAACTTGCACATCCAAGCACCTAGCATTCCCAAGTGGTCACCCATCTAGCTACTGACAAGGCTCAACGTTGCTTAACTTCAGTGATCATACAAGAACTGGTGTTCCAACATGATATAGCTCTAAGCCAGTTATATTTTAAACATGAAAAGATGCTGAAAATTCTCAATCCAATTTTCCAAAATCTAAAATGACGAAACATTTTTCTTTCTGAAAGTCTTTCTTGGTCAGACTAAGAACCTTTCAGCATCCCTTCATATATATTTCACAAATCAGCAATAATCAAAATTATTTTAAAATTTAATTTTATATACATATTTATCTGTCTCCTCCTAAGGGCAAATAAGACACAGAGTTAAGTCTAATGTGGGAGCCCTATGCATGTAAGTGTAGATCGAGGCAAAAATTGCCTAGTTTACACTTTTAGTGCGATGGGGAGGCACTATCCCAAAGTATGGAATCTCCAGAGACCAGGTACACCTACATCAGTGTTGTATCTTATGTTGGATTATCCCAACCCCAAGAGGTCAGAGATTAGTAATTAGAGATAAGTTAATAATGAAAACCAAAGAAACGGAATATTTTTACGTACATTCCAAATTAATACAACTTTTAATTAAAAAAAATAACGATAAGAAACTTTATAAATATTTAAAAAAATTCTACAGGCCTATATTTTTGTTCTTTTTTAAATATCATGTCTCTTCAGAACATAAATGATCATAGCTCACCACAGATTCCTTTTCTTTATTATCTATGAATTACCATGACTTCTTGCAAAAGATAGTGGAGTGGTTTCCTGTTGCCTTTTGAACTTAAATTTGTTCTTTCTTTAACTAAACCTGAAGGCAGACTTCCCCACCTATGGTGCTACACTTTGTTATTTTAATGCCCACAAAATGTGATCTTTAAAGTTTTCTCGGGTTTTCATGTCGGCTTTTACCGAATGATAAACAAGATCATACACATATAAAGCTTTACAAAGTTGAGCTTCCAGAAGAAAGAATTACATATTTCAAAGACTTTGTTGTACCAGTCTTCTGAGAGGAGACGAACCTATCTGACTTGATAACCTGTCCTTTTGCTTGGTCTCCAAATTGATCAATTTTTTTTTTTTTTAATATTAACTCCTGAAGGGACATGGAAATGATGACTTTCCAAATGTTTTTTTTCTTTTTATTATTATCTATGAATTGACAACTTCTTGAGAAAGACAATAATGTGGTTTCCTACTGCATTCTCCAGTTTGGAATTCAGAATTGTCCTTAACTTGTACTCTACAAAACTCAACTTCATAAACCTCCGCACTTGGAAGATTGGCACAATTTCTTACTTCCCTCTCCACGGTATAGTGTTGTGCTAAAACGGCCTTCTTTCCAGATGCCTTCAACAGGTAGACAATAATGAATCACCACAGATTCCTCTTATGTGCAACGATAACTTCTTGAGAAGGATAGTGGAGTTCTTTCCCATTGCATTGGGAATTCAGAATAGTCCTCGTAAATTTGTTGCTACCCAAGGTTACAGATCCTGGTCTGCCCAGCTATTTAACTAATAGCTGGAAGGATCCATGTCTTTCTCAAGGACATGGTGCATGAAAGTGAATGCAATTGACTAGAAAGTAATTTGAACTTAGTTTGTCAATTCTGTTAAGCTACTCACACATCCCAGACCTTATTACACTGCATAACATACTAAAAAATTGATTATATATATATATATATATATATATATATATATATATATATATATATATATATATATATGAGTGTCAGTTTAAACTGACAGCAGGAGGATTTATGTTAGAGAGAAAGAAATATAAAGCGACACCTTTTGTCCACATATTGTTAATATTTTCTTAAATTTCAGATAAAAACTTGGAGATTTTCCAATATATTTCAGTGAAATGTTCACTTTCCCAAATTATAGTCAATTAATTACAGTTTACATATAAAGAAAAAAGGTGTCAGTTTAAGTTGACACCAGTTGGTTTTGGGCAAAACAGACATTTTTTTTTTCCATATAGTGTAACCATTTTGCTTAAAGCTTGTATTTTCTTGATTTCAAATGAAAACCTGGAAATTATCCAACATATTTCAGTAAAATTTTCACCTCCCAAAATTATACTTTAGATATATAGAAAAATTGATGTCAGTTTAAAAAAACAAATAAAAATATATGTAAAAGAAAAGAATTTTTCCAAAACAATTACTTACATAATTTTAAGCATATTTTTTTTTAAATATATAACTGAAGATAAAACTTCATTATTAAATTAATTTAGATTACATTAATTCTTAAGCTTGCAGATTAAAAAAAAAAAAAGAAAAAAATCACAGACACCCATTTAAATGTAAATTCTAATATTTTTCGTATATAAATTTGGCCTATGCAATAATATTTAATCTCAATTTAGGTATGTATATGCAAATTAGAAATGATTTGAATTTAAATAAAATGTTTTGGCAAATCCATCAATCCTCTCCTAAATTCAATCTTTTTTTAAATTAGGTACTGTCTATAATTTTAAGAAAAGTCATTATTCTAGGAACTGCTTAGTATTTTAATTTGATTCCTAAACAATTTTATCATTTTTCATGTAAGTGCTAAGTTTATTATAATTCAATTACTAATGATATGTAATTAGTATAAACATAAAATTCAAACTTGTCAACAAATAGTGGATCCTACTATTTTTTATTATTATAATAGTACAGTTTTTTGGGGTTTTTTTTAAATACTGAATCCCTTCAGGACATAGGTGATCATAACTCTTCAGTTTTCTTTTCTTTATTATCTATGAATTACCATGACTGCTTGAGAAAGATAGTGGAGTGGTTTCCCATTGCCTACTCTATGGTTTAGAATTCAGAGTTGTCCTTCTCCTAGACTGGTTGCTACCTTAGACTAGAGAGCACAGTTTTTTTTCTGACTATTTATAATAGCATAGTACCCGTCAAAATTCATGGTATTATTTATATATATATGAATTAACACTTCTGTTTGGAATTAGAATACCTGTACCACTTTGCCTAAGTCACATTTGTAATTTTTTTATGCTGTTCAAGCAGCAGAACGTTGATGTGGATAAATCAGTTGCCTGGTCAGACGTTTGAATCAGGGCTGGAATCCACTTGATGATATTAATTATTATATATATGTTTTCGCATGAGAGGAAGTTATAGACAGCGAAAAAAAAAATCATAGAAAAAAAAAAAAAAAGTCGTACTCTTCACTATGAATACTGCCATAACAAAAAGGGATTTTTACAAGTAACAAAAAAATACATGATCTTAAAGAAATAATTAAAATAAAACTTGACTAACGTCTAAAATTCTTTGCTGGTAGATTAAAAAAAAAGAAAAAGAAAATATGTAATTTGTATCAATGGAGTCGCGTTGTTAGCAGGGCAGGGATTTTTAGGAGATATAGCAAAAAAAACTAAGGGCTACAAAGGACGGGGAGTTGTGAAGAGCTACGATCGCCCACGTCCAGAAGGACACCTCACATAGAAAAAAAGAATCGATGAAGTATTTTTTAAATAAGAAAAAAAAAAAAAAAAAAAAAAAAAAACAAAATTGAAAAATGTGTATATTTCTTTTTAAATTGGAAAACAAAAACAAATCATATTTTCAAAGTTCAATATGCAAAGTTAATTACTGGATCTTTCTAATCTTTTCACAGATTAAAATCTCCCACCCGACTCAAGAAAATAGGTAAATAATAAATAAAGTTTTTTTTAGTCACTGTATCAGTCAACAATTATCCGACCATGATAATGGGATACTATTACTACTACTACATACTTCATTATGATAAAATTAGAAATTCCTAAGGTTGAAAAATAGACACTGAATTATACTGGGTACCTTGTGAAAACACCTTATTTATTTATTTTTTTTAATTTATTTATTCTTTTTTTTATTTATTTATTTATTTATTTTACTGGAAACTAAAAATAATAGCATGTGTTTGTTCTTCAGAAATCGACCAACTGACAGTTTTAAAATAAAAATGTATGTGTATCAATTAATTCTTATTTAAATTAAATATAAAAATATGGTTAACTCAATTAGCAAAAGGTAAAAAAAAAAATCATTTGATTTGATAATTTGGTTTTATTTTATTTCATATTTAAATAGATAGGTTATACAAGAGAAATTGCCCGTGACGACCATGACCAACAAGCAAGGAAAAGTAGTCGAAGCTGGAATCTCTTCACAGCCAAACTGTCTAGCAGTGAATAAATTGGCATTTATCCTGAATAGGAAAAAAATATATATATATATATATATATTTTTTTTTTAAAACCATGATTTTCATTTTAAAAATAGATAAAAATTTTAAAATCATGTCATAAAAATAAAATAGATGGCCATATAAAACTGCCTTAAAATGATTTTTTTTAAAAATATTTTAGTAGTTACTAACTAACAGTGTTTATAACGGATTTGGTTTTTTTTTTTTTGCTTTTTAGTAAGATTTATGCAAGTACAAAAATGTTCAGACAAGTGGCAGGTCTCATATTTAAAAAATAAAAAGTCCCATAATAGATTAGATTAGCTTAGCATTTTGCATCGGATACATTTTGAAAATATCTTAACGCGTATAAAGGCAGTTCTAACTAAATAGTCTCTACCAATGATCGGTATAAAAATAGAGAATAAAAAGGTAAAATATTAAAAAGGGTTTATTTTATATTCATTTATTCAAATTATAACAAGGTACTAGAGATTTGGGGGAAAGTTATGGTAGAAACTTGTTTAAAATATGTGAAGAAAGGAAGTCGTGGTTGTTGAACAAAACCACATCCGTTGTAAAAATATTACTATATTCAATATAAAAGATTTTACTACACAGGGTGAGCCGAAAAATAGGAAACGAAAATATAACCATTTCGTTTGTTTGTTTTTTTTTGTGTTGTTTTTTTTCTTGTATATTTTGCAAAGAAAATAACTAATATATGCGCGCTAAAATTTTCAAGTATTTTTTTTTATTTATTTATTTTAATTATTTCTAATCAGTGCGAAATTTCTCAGTAAAAATACAGTTATATAGGAGAGGATGAGGAGGAGGAGATATTATAGAGAGAGGGGGATGCCTTCATGTTGCTGAGAAAT